TGATCGCATTTTAGGGATACCTGCCTGCCTACTACGTTTACCACGGTATTATAGGCCTTACTACTACATGCTTCCTCTAGCCGTGCTCTGCTGGTGATCTGCTGCTGCTACTGCTGCTGTTATTGGTTGGTTGTGGCGGTTGCTGGTGTTTGGTGTACCTGCACGGCGCCGAGCCGCACTCTTGCTACTGGCAGCTGTTGTGGCTGCTGGTATTCTGCTATTGTCTCTCTACATCTCCCAACTTACAACGTTCATTGCTCACTACCTCTCTGTACAGCTATTCATTGCCAATACTTGTTGTTGTTGTTGTTTGTGTGCTGGGGCGTTGCCGGCTTCTTTTTTGTGCTGCTGGCTGGCTGGCTGCTCGCTCTGGCTACTGCTATGCTAACGTGCTATGTTACTGCACGTACTGCTCGCACTGCTACGCCACGTACTGCTGCCACTACCACTACCATACCACTAACACATATACTACTACACTGCACTCACTGCGTACTACTACTCTACTGACTACTACTACTACTACTACTACTACATACTACTACTATCTACTACCACGTGCTTACTACTGCCTATGCACTACTACTGACTCGACGACTGCGCGCTAGCAGTGTGATTTGATTACTGTTACTGCTCACGCTGAGTGCCACAAAGTTGGCTCGCAGGCCGGCAACATCTCGCTGTTATATATGTGGCCCCCCCCCCTCCCCCCGCAGCTCTTCCTGCTTGATGCCCACGCATCTCACGTCTGTTGTTGATCTCGGCTCTAATCTGCGCTGAAGTTGGTAGAGCTTCCAGAACGTCAGGCTGTCATTAACACTCGTTGACTTTTCTACTCATTCTGGCTGCCGCTGAGTTGTGAGAGTGATGGAGATGCCGCAGCTGTGTAGTGTAGTGATATGTAGCGCTGCGTAGCGGTTTTTTTCTGTGCCGCGCTGCGCGCCGCGTGTGTGTTGTGTGTGGGTGTGCGTGGTGGCGTGTGCTGTCGTGTGTGTGCGTGTCTGGGCGTGTGTGTGTTGTGTGTGTGTGTGTTCGCTGCGATTTGCTTGCGAAATCGCGTATGAATCTATCAGGAGTGGATATAGATTATTCACTATTATTATTCACTCCTGATCTAATCGGATCCCCGAGTACTATTCGCTCGTAAGATGGGCCACGTACTGTACGATCGCCGTGTGCACCCGTAGCTCATTCCCTCCTCGCTATTCCCCGTTTCTTCTCTCTTCTTCCAGCCTTTATTCTCGTAGACGGGCATCGTTGATGTTCTGTCTACCACGATGTGTCTGTCGTACAGCCCGCGGTACTCCCCCGCTCCTCTCTCGCGCTATGCCCTTTCCTCCCTCTCTTGCTTCTATCCGCCTATCTTGATGGTTAATAATTACGGCTTGATAGAGGATTATATAGCGCCACAGATATAGCCTCGCAGTTATCTGTAGCGTTGCTGTCTGGCGCCTCTGTACTTACACGCTTCTCTATGGCTATTCCCCTTTTCTCCATCTCGTGTTACTATGCCTTTCTTATGGTTAATAATTATGGCCAGAGGAGAGATATATAACGATTTGAGAGATGGAAAAGGAGAAAGTGGGAGAGCCCCGCTCTCTCTCGCTGTACGGTCTCTCTCTACGCATAATTGCTTGGCTCTCGACACTCTATGCCTACCGACTCTAA